AGCATATTTAGTTTCTCTTTAAATGACTTCAAAATGTTTATCATATCTATTATTATTTTACCTTTACCCTGTAGTTGCAGATTTAATTGGTGTAATTTTTCAGTAATGTTGCAGAAAAAAGCAAGATCAAGAAGCCATTTTTGATCATTTAATTGTGGATATGAATCACTTGTAGTTTGTAAATATGAGCATATTTGTGGCAGAAGTTCTCATTAAAATGTAGCACGACTTAACCATCTTACGTCAGTATGTAGTAACAGTTCACTGTGTTCATCGCCGCATTCTTTTAGCAAGTGCAAAACTGACAATGTGACAAACTTTTAGATCTTATGGAATTTATTATTTTAAATGCAACATCTATAACATGATTGAATTTCAATACTTTTGAACATAGCACTTGAGTATGTATAATACAATGATAATCCATAAAATTTGGAATGTTGTCATCATTTTTACAGAGAGCAACGAAGCCACTTTTATTACCGATCATTGCTGGAGTCCCATCAGTGGTTATTGATACCAGCTTGCAAATTGGAAAATTTGTATGTGCAACATAATTTTTAAACAAATTGAAGATATCCTGACTTCTTGTGCATTCGTGCATTGGAATAATAGTTAATAATTCTTCTGTGGCCGACGTATCATCAAAAACCATTCGAATAAAAACACATAATTGTGCAGTGCTGATATAGTCTGTAGATTTGTCAAACTTTAGTGATAATACAATGCATTTATTAATGTTTTCATGTAAAATATCTTCAAGATTTTGGCTAATTCCTTCTGTTCTACACATAACAGTATTTTGTGATAACAACATATTTTCGATGGATGCCATTATTTCCGATTTATTTTTAAAATCTTGAAACAACACTTCTCCAGCTTTAATAAAAGCTTCTTTCCATACTTCCCCATCTTGAAACGGTTTATTATGTTTAATTAAAGTATCAGCAACTTTGAATGAGGCAATCATAGCAGTCTTTGAGTTTGTGTTGTATTTAAAAAAAGCTGTTTTGTTGCACAGTTAATTCTGCCTTCAGTTGTTGCATTTTGGCCTTTCTTAATGCAGTACCACGTGGATAATCTTCTTCATAGTTTTATGAACTGTTAGAAAATGTCTTTCAACGTTTCCTTTCTTAGGCAAAGCTACTGTTGCATTGCAAATAAAACACACACATTTATCTTTTGTCATAGTAAAGAAATAATCTTCTTCCCATTCACTGTGATAATGATAAGTTTTTATTTTTTTCCGGCCTATACTTGGTTTATTCATTCTAAAATAATAGGGTTAAGTGTTAATAACATTTAAAACAATAATTAATAAACTAACATACCTGCTTCTGTTCACTGTATGAATAAATAAAAAAAAAACTAAAATTGAAAGTAAATACAAGTGCACAAACAAGGAGTAAGAAGTGGATTGAAGCCAGGTGCTGTCACGTTACTGTCTGGCACATGATTTTGCACCATTTTATGCAATTGCCACTTATATGCGCATGCGTTAACATTCATTTGTATTGTTCATCGGGATAAATACAAACAGTATGGGTATGTTGCACAGACAGTCTATTATTGTAAGAATAAATTATCGAATTAAGATTTTTAAACATTAATTTAAGTGAAAGCAAATTGTTCAACTTTAGCTTTGCAGGCTACTTTCAAAACCATTGTGGTCGACCGGTCGACCACAGTCTACATGTTGGCAACCCTGTTTTAGAGCATCAATTACTTAGTACGAAATGACGTGGTTCACACGGATAAGATAAATTGTCGCCTGTATACCCAAAAATGTCCGAAAGCAATACACACTGTTTTGTGTAAACATTTGAAAGGAATAGCCATAGGTATGAAGAAATACACACAATTTATTGCATAAAATACGTACTTAAGTCAATACAGTTTGATAACATCACACAAAAAACAACGGAAAGTCAAACTGTCACATAGTGATAACAAGTTAATGTTGAGTATGTTTGAAAAGTTTGCCATTGCTCACGATACACACCATTGTTATCAAACTGTATTAACATAAGTACATATTTTATGCAATAAATTGTGCGTATTTCTTCATACCTATTGCTATTCCTTTCAAATATTTACACAAAACAGTATTCACCACTTTCAGGCATTTTTGGGTATATAGACGACAATTTATCTTATCCGTGTGAACCATATGTCATTTCATACTAAGTAATTGATGCTCTAAAACTTTCTAATTGGAAAGTTTGCTCTATCTGTTTTCATTTTCAATTTGCACTGCCTATCTTCCAAATTTTGCCACTAGCACTGCTGTCGTTTGCATTAGGTCAGGCATAGTCACTTTATTGTTACCTCACTTGCATAGCTGTAGCTCTCTCTGTTTGCAAGAATTTTCCGGTTAAAGGGACTTTCCTATGCACCTTGTATAGGGTGCATAGGAAACAATGAATTCACAACCTGTTTATAATAAACAGGTTGTGAATTCATTGTTTCTAAGGGGATTATTGTTTCTTAAGGCAAATTTATGTTTCTAAGGGGATTATCAAACAATCTTCATGCGATACAGTGCTTCAGTCTTTATTGTTAATGCAATTCCCTTTTAACATTGCCTTAAATATTTATAGTAATTCCAATGTCCCAGAAAAATGTTTATGGTGTTTAGTTTGTGTTTTAATTATAAAATTGATGATTAAAAGCGAATAAGAATATAAATTAAAATTTGCATAACAACCCATGGACCTGGAAATCTTGTTTGAAATAATGGCAGAATAGATTCTCAGTTGCATTGTAATATTTTAAAGAATGATTTGGTGGGTACATTACAGTTGTATAAATTAAAATAAAAAATATTTTTTTAACAGGATAACATAGTGCTAAATGCACTAAAACCCTGCTTCAGCAGTTGTGCATCATTTAAGCATTTACTAACATTTTTAATATATTCTGGGGTTTATGAGAAGCTGTAAAGTGTTATAACTAAATTTCTTATAACTTTTTATGTTTAACCTAATAGAAATATTTCAGAAAACTTATTATTATATAATAAGTTCTATAATAATAATAATATTATTATTATTATTATTATAGAAGTGTGTGGACATTTTCTTTTTCTTTTATAGTCACATATATAATTATAAAATGTGAGATCCAATCAATATTCCATCATCATAAAATGAAATAATTCTGTACTCTAATTCTAATTACTGTATATTTAACTCTAATATTTATACCGATAAATATTAAGTTCTTGGAAAATGATTTTTATATTGTTCAATATTTATAATTTGATAATGCTTTGAAGATGAATTCAATATTATATTTTAATATTCTTCACAAACCAGAACTGGTCCCAAATTATCTAGATTTTATCCCATGTCCTCAGAGTGGTATATTAATGAAAATGCCATTGTGTACATGTGCAATTTTTATTAATATAGTTTCATATTTCTTATAAAAATTTCAGTGTGTGTGAAAAAAATGAACTTGGTTGTAATTTCAGAGGAAAAGAAAAATCGAGTTTGGAAATAGAGAGCATTTGATATGTTAGCAACAATTTCATCAGTAATAGATATTTCTTTGTTGTTTGGGCATTCCGATTAAATAATCAGAATTCCCAAACAGCAAAGATATTATTATTGGTTTATCTAAAGCAGTGTTGGGGGTCGCAAAACCTTACACGGGGGGTCGCGGGTAAAAGAAAAAGACAAGTGTTTGTAGGTCCTGCACTACATTTAAAAAAACTACAATTTTAGCGAGAAGGCTGTACCTGTTTATTATACAGTACAATTGGTTTTTTGATCGGCATTTAGGTCTGAACGATGGGTGTCGCCAGGGTGGGGCCTGGGTGGGTACGCCCACCCCAGAAAATGATAGCCGAAAAAGTGTTGAGCTGACTTGTAAAAAGAAGTAATAAGTAGAAAAGTAGAAGTTCAGAACTCTCATCCTAAAAAAAAAGGTCAACAGCACCCAGAGCCCAATGTTATAATGAAAAGGAAGTTTCATACTGTACGTCTGTACGTGTCTTAAGTTATTGTCAATTCTTCTTAAATTCTCATTTTAATCAACAATAATTTCTCTCAACAGAAAGAAAATTAAATACATAATTTTTAAAATCACTGATATAGTTTTAATATCGCCCTAGGGGGGCCGCCAGAATTTTTTAACTTGTAAAGAGGTCACGTATTCAAAAAGGTTGAAAAACACTGATCTAAAGTATGTGGAGGGGGAAAAAGCCTCTTCTCTGGATGGGATAATGAGAGCTATGAAAGCTATCATAATATATGACAAGAAATTGTGGATACTGAATATTTGTCACCAAATTGCATTTGGAAAAAAACTTAGAAATATTCTCCAATTTTGATGAAAACACCAAAGGTTGAAGAAGAATGAAAGAAAGTTAATATTAACAATATACTATATACAGTAGAGCGTCATTTATCCGAATCAATTGGGGACTGAGGTTGTTCGGATAACTTATTTTTCGGATAACCAATTATGTACGAAAAAATATATTAATTTATCCCATGTTGAAATTTTTCTCCATTGCGTGTCGCTTCGGGTTGAATTTTCGTCGATGTTACGCCTAACGAAGACTATTGTATCGTTAAAAATTATTTTTTTATTTTGTACAAACAAAATAAATATATTGAAAAATATAAAAACAATAAAAAATTATACTTCAGAAGTTAATTTAGTATCAAAAACGTAAAATATTTGAGTAGCTGAAGACATAGCCAAAGATTACAGTGCCACAGCACTGGCGAAAATTTAAATTTGTCGACTGAAATTCCTTCGGATAAACGACGCTCTACTGTACTTATAAAAGATTTTCACAGTTTATAATATGTAACTATACTAATGTTTTATGTATGCATGTATGTATACACGCGCACATGCGTGTATAGAGCATTTTAAGGCTTAGAATTGATGTATGGTTCACGGTTGACATCAATTATTACAGTTTACCCATCTTGCATTCAAAATTCACTTTTATAATTTCAAAATATTTTAGATATTTTTATATTAAAGTTATATAATGTAAACATTTTTTTCTTTTAGATTTACATCATTTAGTAGTAGTTCATTTAGTTTTGGTCAAGGTGGAGGTGGACGAGCTGGTGTTAGAAAAACTACAGTTTCAACAAAAACAATTAATGGAAAAAGAATCGAAACAAGAACGTATGTGTAATATTTTTTATATTTATTTAATTAGTTTTAAAGCTACTGGAAAGTTTTAAAAATTTTAATGAAAAGTTGTATCTGGTATATAACTCCTCAATATATATCTGGTCAAAACACCTTAATTTTCTAGGAATTATCACATCCAAACACACCATAATTACTAGCCAATCAACAACTTTATTTTATCCAAATGCATTTTGGAAATTACAATATTTCCTTCTCAGTGGGTTTTCTTCCTTACAAGCTAAACAATGCACAAACACTTTTTTCCATATTCTAGTAAATATAAATAACTATATTTTCAAAAAGACACTGTGGCCAGGTTGCTTGTAAAAGGCCAACCTTTTACAAGCAACCTGGCTACACGATGTCTTTTTGAAAAATAAAAATAAAATAATAAAATTACAACTTATAATCATATCCACTAAAACCATTAAATATTTACCTTCTAATCTATATACAGTAGACCCCCCCATAACGTGGTAGATATGTTCCACTTTATAAGAATTTCACATTGTAGGAATCCTTAAATACATGAGCCAATCACAGCCCGACACGTGTGAAGTTTGCGGACTACGGCTGTTTGAAAGGTTTTCTTCCATAAAATTAATCAATTCTAGACTAATTCGACTCAACATTTCCAAAACACGTATAATTTTTTGGGAATAATCAGTATAAACTATGCTATAAACAAAAAATTGTAGGATTACTTACCAAGTGTGCACCGTTCGACGTCGCCATTGCTTAACCCCTTCATTCCCGATCATTAATTAAATTGGTATAAGATTAATATTAAAATACATTAAAAATACTTAAAACTAAAAAAAAACGAAGGAATGCGTTAATTTTGAAGGTTTTTCTTCAAAATTAACGCAAAATTAAATTTCTTCAAAATTTTCCTTTGTTTCGCCTTTCTGTGAAATTTAACACCGATGAATCATTGTTTACACAGCTGGGTGACCTTGAACACAGCTGGAGTCCGATTTCCCGGGACATTCTCATAGACGTCTCGGGAGGACAAGGGTTTAAAGTAGGGTGACTATAAGCAACACGGAAATTTTTAAATATTTTTAAAAAATTCAAACTTTTATTGCGATTTCCGACCCCCCCTAATTAATTAATTTTATATTTAAAAAAATATATTAATTAAAAAAATTAAAAAACCATTGGAGGTCGTTTTTGACATCAGAAACTAGCTTTAAATAACTTTACCGAATGAATATCCGTGCACTACAACTTAGGAACCATGAAATAAATTTGATAAAAAACTCCCATTAAAAAACAACTGAGCCTTAATCGAGCCTTTTTAAAGGCTAATTAAAATCGCGATAAAATTTTTTCGCGCGGGCAAAAAATTTTGGAAAAATTTGGGGACCTAAAAAACATTCCAAAAATTCAAAAAAAAAAAAATTTTTTTCAAAAATGGCCTTAAGGACCACGTTTTTCGTAACACTATGTAGGCTTGACGAGTTAACTCGTCAATGGAGACTGAGGGGTTAAGCTTGTTTTCATCGCGGAGCAGCTCACCAAACGGCGGCCGCGATTTCTGATAAATTATTTTTCTGCGAAAAATTCGTTGAACTTTAGAGGCCTCATTAATAGAAATAATTTTTATGTCCGTTGAATAAGAAATGTTTCTTTCACAAGAAATGTATAAAATTACAGTGCTGTATTAGACTTACGGTACCTAATTTACATACTGTACAGACGATAGTAAACTCAACTTACTCGCCTAAACTCTCCGTAGCGTGGCGCTGGATGGCGGAAAGTATATATACAGTAGAGCATCGATTATTTGACCCCCAATTAACCGTCACATCAGTTAACCGACTGTTCTAGTCAGCAAATTTCAAATGTCTGCTAGTGATGTGGCACTACAATATTTGGCTATGTCTTGTCTACTTTAATATTATTTTTGTTAAATTTTTGCATGTTTTAGCTGGCAACATGGCTCGACCATTGAAGGGAGGCCAGTATTTAAACGAGACTTAATTTTCTAATTATNACATACATTATAGACATAGCCATTCCAAACACTCACAATGTACAAAACACATGCACTGAAAAAATTAGCAAGTACACAGAACTCGCCCAGGAAATCAGGCATCTGTGGAGGATGGATAGAGTGCTTATTGTACCTGCCGTTCTCTCCTGTACAGGTGTGATACCACACACGCTACACAAAAGCCTGGGAACATTACAATTGAGTAGAAATACATACATCACACTACAGAAGGCCACTATATTGAATACATGCCATATTGTTAGGAAATTCCTGAATACAGACACTGACACACTTATATAAGTTTAGTTTTGTTTTGATTGCTATGCCTTGACTCTGGTCCGGCATGGTACACAGCCACCGGTGTGAACCGAGTAACCCACTAAACCCAACACAATAATAATAATAAAAAGTGCAGAGTCCAAATGGTTAGGACTTGAAAGTTGAAATTTGGTACACAGTTAGTGTGCGTTACGAGAACACACACTAAGAAGGGATTTTTCGAAATTCCTCCCCACGGGGGAGAGGGACAGGATTAAGGCTTAACACTTCCATCAACAATGGAAGTGTTATGTAACAATGGAATTGTTAAGGGAAAGCGACGTACAAGACACAGATGCAGTTTTTTTCGTTTTTGCGGGAAATCGAACATATTTTTAGAACCATCTAAAAATTCTCTAATTAGTCTGGAAACAAGGGGACCCAATTCTTGCATTCTGTGAAATCGAACATATTTTTAGACCCATCTAAAAATTCTCTAATTAGTCTGGAAACAAGGGGACCCAATTCTTGCATTCTGTGACTGTAATGTAATAATTTTAATCTTCACTATCATTACTTTTGCCCGAACAACGCCAGGCCTACCTGCTAGTTTTTTAATATTTCAACTGTTTTAACTATTTTCTTATTAAAATGATTTTCACCTATTTTAAGAATTTAAAAAACTAATGTTAGTTTTTTAAAACATTAACGTTAGTCTTGCAATATGTGGGCAAGCATTGTCATGTTGGAAAATGACCTTGTCGTGTCTTTTGGTATATTCTGGACATTTTTGCCTCAATGCTTCATTCAATTTGATTAACTGTTGTTTGTAACTTTCAGCATTGATTTTATGACTTGGTTGCAACAGCTCATAGTACACCCTTTTGGTCCCACCAGATATACAACATAAGCTTAATTTCTCCATGAAATTTCTGTTTTGGCATTGATGGACTTGGTTCACCAGGATGCACCCATGCCTTTGGGCATTTAGGATTGTCAAAGTGAATCCATTTTTCATCTCCAGTAACAATTCAGTATTAATCCTTTTAGTTCCCAGCAATTTTTCATATTAATGTAATTAAACATAAAAAATACTTAAAACTGAAAAAAAACGAAAGAAATGCGTTAATTTTGAAGAAAAAGTTTCAAATTTTATTTTCCATTGTCTCGCTTTTCTGTGAAATCTGACGCGGATGAGTCATTGTGTTTACAGCTGGATGACCTTCAATTCAATTTATTTACAGAGGCATAAATGCATACCTTGGCTCCGCTATGAACACTACCAAGGAAATAAAATACAGGAAATGTAAACAAACAACAGTATGTACATTGTAGATTCCATGCAGAACTTTAAGTTAATGGATAAAATCCATAAAATTATAATTAAATAAAATTAAATTATACTATACTTTAGTAAAACAAAGTATAGCTGGATGACCTTGAGAACAGCTGGTGTTGGATTTCCCAGGACATTCTCATAGAAGTCTCAGGAGGCGAAGGGTTTAAAGTAGGGTGAATACTAGCCGGCTGTATATTTTTAAATAATTAAAATTTTTATTGCGATTTCCAACTCCCCCGACTTAATTAAGTTAAACATATATATAATAAAATATATTAATTAAAAAAATTNAATATTTTTGAAAAATTAAAATTTTTATTGCGATTTCCGACCTCCCCTAATTAATTAAATTTATATATAATAAAATCTATTAATTAAAAAAAATTAAAAAACTATTGGAGGTCGTTTTTGACATCAGAAAGTAGCTTTAAATAACTTTACTGAAGTCAAATCCATGCACTACAACTTTAGAACGATTAATTAATTTTGATAAAAAAATCCCATTAAAAAACAATTAAGCCTTAATTAAAGTCGCGATAAAATTTTTTTGTGCAGGTAAAAATTTTTGAAAAAATTTGGAGACTTAAAAAACATTCCAAAAATCAAAAAAAAATTTGGGGGGCCGAAAGGACCGAGTTTTCTGTAACGCTATGTAACCTGCCCGAGTTAACTCAGGCTAAGAACTAAAAGGGTTAAAAAACCTTTTCTTTTTTGTCTTTGGAGCAATAATTTGCATATGGTTTTTGACATTCAATGTCTCGTCTCTTTCAATTCGTATGTATGTGACCCTAATTTCCTTGCTTTTGAACCATTCCCATTGCATGTAGATATTTGGAAATACATGGTTGGGTGACATTTAAAGCAGCAGCCAATTCCAATTGTGTTTGGCAAGGATCTTCATCCAGTAATGCTTCCAGTTCTTCATCTTGGATTTTTTTTGATGGTTTTCCATGCTCTTTATCATGTGTATCAAAATCATTATTTTTAAACCGTCAAAACCAGTCTTTGCATTTTGTATTGAATGGAGAATGTTCACCATAAATTTCCAACAGCAAACAATATGTTTCTGCTGCAATTTTCTTTGAAATAAAATAATGAAGCAAAACTTCCCGCAAATGCTGTTTTCATGGCACAAAACTTGACACTTTTAACCAAATAAAGATAATTATTGTTTACACTTTAAACAGATGCCTTAGACTTATTTTTGAAGAATGCTGTCAAACTTTTCAAATAAAAGTGTTGCCAGATTCAGTTGCATACAAACAGTATTACTAATGCCATCTATTATAAAAGAGCAGAGTCATATTTATACACCTAATGTATTGTAGTTTATATAACCATTAATAAAAAAATACAGTATAAAGTATTACATAAATTATGAGCAATATTTTGCTC